TTATTCAACCTTATCACACCCACAAAAATAGAATTTTATTTTGTGGACTGGTAGAATCCACAAATTTTAAGTCTAAGAAAATTTGTCTTAAACTTAAACTGCTTAGACACAGATGACACACACAGCTGTCATAATTTTATTTAAACAATTGCAACAGCAGCAGCAGCAGCAATGAGTTGCTTAACTTTTCCAGCAACATTTAAAACTGCACACACACATATTATAAAATTTTTATATTTTTAATTATTATAAAATACTAAAAAGCTTTAATTTTGAGGGTAGGGATGGGTTTTATAAAAAATGTAAATGGTAATGAGGAAAATTGTCATTAAGTCAACCCTACTTATAATATGACAAACTCTTCATCTTACATGCCCTTGACCTTTAATTACCAAAATATAATAGCATCAATTCTCTAATACACAAGCTTCCCTGCAAAATTTAAGAAATTTTCAATCAAAACAACAGGAATTAAGCTTCAAAGAGGATAAACAAAATCTTGCCCCCCCACACACTAACATCAATACACACAGAAAAATCCACAAATTTTTTTCCTCAATGTTTCAAGGTCGAGTCCAAAAATGTAGGGGACTTTTTAATCAATCATCATACTTTGCCTTCTATATATAAACAGAACCAAGAAGGTAAAAATAAATAAAAATCATTTATATTAATTACAGTAGAGCATCGATTATCCAACTGAATTGGGGACTCAGGTTGTCAGATAACTGAAACAAATCGGATAACCAAAAAGAATGAAAAAATTACATTATTAGTGTAGTATATCCCATGTAATTAGTATATCGCTATTAATTAACTTCGTGTTGAATTTATCGATGTTAAGCCTAACGAATTTTTTTAAAATAATAATCGTCGCTATTGTATCGTTAAAAATTATTTTTAAGTTATTTTATTGCTCACAAAACAAACAACAACTCATAATTAGAAAATTAAGTCTTGTTTAAATACTGGCCGCCCTTCAATAGTCGAAACGTGTTGCCAGCTAAAACACGCAAAAATTTAACAAAAATAATATTAAAGTAGCCAAGACATAGTCAAATATTGTAGTGCCACATCACTAGCGGACATTTGAATTTTGCCGCCTAGAACAGTCGGTTAACTGATGTGACGGTTAATCGAGGGTCGGACAATCGATCCTCTACTGCAGCGATTCCCAACCTGTGGTACGCGTACCACAGGTTGGGAATCGCTGCAAGGATATCCTTTTTTCTGTACCCCTAAACAACCTATCGCTGCAACGATAGGTTGTTTAGGGGTACAGAAAAAAGTTAGTTATTATGGCAGAAAAAATAATATATTATGTATCACAAACTAATAGAATTAAAAAATTATTAGGTAAAAAATGTTCCTTGCAACAATCANTTTACAGCACATACTACAGTTTAAGAAAAGTATTCACTTACAGGTTTACCTAGGATAATGTGGAACCTCAGTTGATCAGGGATCTACTGTGTATGTATGTACTGTACATGTATGTATATAAGCTTGTATATGTTAACTTTGTAGTAAAACTATCTTAGCTTCAATATTTGAAGCAATTATCAGAATAATGCTTTATTTTCATTCAATTCTGAACAAATGTATCTTCAGAACTGAAAGAAACTGAAGTTCCTTGCAACAATCACAACTTTATTATGCATTTTTTCATTTAGTTTTTTTTTCTTTAAAGTTACAATATGTAAAATTAACAATACGGGTACTCACTAAATTTCTTAAATGAGAGGTACAATCTAGAGATATGACATGTCACGGGGTACGCTAATGAAAAAAGGTTGGGAACCACTGCTCTACTGTAAGTTTAAAATCTTAATATTTTTTTTGTTGCAAAATTTCCTGCCAGTCTAAATATTTATGGAGGAATCACTGTTGGTCTGCAGTTTCAAAGTTGAAAAGAACACTGCTCTAGAACACCTTGAAAAAACTAATGAGGTGTTAAAAGGAAACTATACAAATAATTAGAACCTCCTGAAGAATAGCTAATCTTACATAATGATTGATGAAACACATACAAGGTATGTGAATGACTTGTATTATGCACATGACATTGTGAAAGCTTTTTCTGGATGTGATTTAAACGTTATTTCAGGTCTATGTAGTTAACTAATTAATTGGTAAACTTAAAATGAAATCTAATAAGCCATATTTATTTGCTTGCAATACAAAGATAATCTACAAGATTAAACGTAAAGTTGTAAATAAAAATATACAATCAATCAACTTGCTTCATTGAACAAAAAAATTTGTTCATAGGAAATGAATGAGAACTCCTCCTCCTATAGCAGTAGCAAATATTTATTCACATGGTCACATGTGGTTCAACAAATATTGAAAGAGATCCATGAAGATGCATGCATACAAAACATGAAGACAATCTTATCGGATTAAACATTCAAATAATGAATTAACATAATATATCTAGTTATTTCAATTTTCTTATATCTATTGAACAGCTGATGGTAAAGGAACTTTCTCTGATTCAACAGCTGAAGTTCAATAAAGAAGAGCTTAAAAGCAGTTACAGGAATAAGCTTTTGAGAAATTCAAAGATGTTTTTGCTAAAATTCTGAAGGTACAAAATTGTGAGCAAAGCTAGACATTCAAGGATATGTTGAACCAGTCATTATCCTGCAAGTATAACATTTTGTATAGTAAATTTAAAGCAAAAAAAACTAAGCATCTTATCATATGTATATTTCTAAATTTTTTGGTTTAGAACTACAACTTGTTTGTTATTAGTTTTTATAAAAATGCAGACATCAATTACTTTATTTCTTCAGCAGGTTTTCCAATCTTCAACAGGTTGAGAGATTGATTTTAATAAAATCAAAACCTACATTTTAATTATTCTTTCTATACTCCCGAAAGAACTAATCAGAAAATTGAAAATTAACTTTCCATTTTTGGCTTTTGTTATTGCAATTTTTACTGATTTTTAGTGCAACCAAATCCAGACTTTAGTTATAATAAAAATAATTAGTTTAGCATATAATAAACACATGAAATGATCAAAGTAATTACTTAAATATTTTTGATTTTATTTCTTTAATCATTAAAATTAATATAAAAAATATTTAATTGATCTTTAAAGAAAACTTTAAAAAATCCAATGGTTGCAATATTTTGCAACAGAAAAGTGCAGCTTAAATTGCATTTCTCCCCCTCCCATTTTAAAAACAGAACTGAAAGATGTAATTAATTTAGTCCATTAATTTAAATAATGTCTTTTTCAACCATGAATGTGTGCATATACACAGTAGAACCATGATTATCCAAGGTAATGTGGACAATGCTATATCATAACCAAAAATTAATAAAATGGATTAAAATTTCTTATTAGACATGAGAAAGAATTTATAATACAAAGACTTTCTGGTATATTGCTTTTAAGCCTCTTTTATACTTTAGTAAATTTAATCATATATAAGAATACATTTTTTACATCATTTATTATACACCTAATATACATACAATAGTTCTATGAATAAAAATTTGTATTATTGTAGTTACATTTTAATTTGAAAGATTTGTCTCTCATTGATGTTAAATGATACAAAATGGTTTATTTGTTATTTAAATTAATTGATGTAAAGAAAATTTACAGCACATACTACAGTTTAAGAAAAGTATTCACTTACAGGTTTACCTAGGATAATGTGGAACCTCAGTTGATCAGGGATCTACTGTGTATGTATGTACTGTACATGTATGTATATAAGCTTGTATATGTTAACTTTGTAGTAAAACTATCTTAGCTTCAATATTTGAAGCAATTATCAGAATAATGCTTTATTTTCATTCAATTCTGAACAAATGTATCTTCAGAACTGAAAGAAACTGAACAACATATGTGGACGAATATTCTTGAATAACTAGCAGGAATTTTCAAGTACATAATTGTAAATCAATTCAAAATAAATTTATAACATTCTCACAAAATTTTCTGAAGAAAAACAATATTTGGGTAAAATTTTTTATATGAATAGAATTATGGATTACAGAATGCAATCTATCCTAAATCATGGGTAAACCTTAGTGCCACCTAATCCTTGCCCTTGAACACTTGACCATTATTAACATCTATTGAGTGTCACAGATTATGGATTAAGTTTTGATAGATTGAAAACAGTCTAGAATTCATTTTTGTACGAAGTTTTAACTTTTAAAGAAATCTATTAAGAATAAATTTATAGTAAAAGTGGATTTGCTCTCATAGGAGCACTAAATGCATTGGAAGAATAAATATGTAAATAAAAAAATAAAAAATTAACTAGGATAAAGTTTGTTTTAAAATTAGGATTCCAATGATAGAAAAACTGAATTCAAAACAGAAATCAGTAATAAAATTTAAGTTACTTCTGCTATCATTGACTGGATAACAATGAAAATAGATGTAGCTGCAGACATTAGATATGTACAGTACATTAGCCTCAATTGAACAACTGCTAATGGTGGCATTAGTTATTTTAACACAAGGGAATTTTGGAATGACTGCAACTTATTAAAATCTTATGTTAGTGTTCCTGAAAATATATACTGTATATATAAACACTCCAATAACCCAATGTATTAATAATCATCCAATCACCAGATTATAATATATACTAATCTTATTTACTTACAATAAGGGATGGGAAAACCCATTCTAATGATTTTCTTCTAGTGGAAACCAGTTTTATTTGCAGTTTAGCCCATTTCAATTTACTAAAAAAAATTAAAGTCAAGAATCAGTTAATAATAAGTATTTCTACCGAGTTAAATAAATTGCTTCCCTTATAAAACCTTATTTCAGAAAATGCTACTGCAGCATTTTTGAATATACAGAGTATGAATTTTCAATATTAAACAAGGATTTTAATTTTAAACTAAACATCTTTATAATAAAAAAAAATTAAGCTGCTTCTACACAAATACTGAAAATAACAAGAGTGACAGACTCCAACTTGGGAGTACACAATAATTTTTTACAATCACTTATAAAATAATTTTTAGGAAAAGCTTTATTATATTCCACTAATACAACAAGTACCACCCATCTCTTCTGCTATTTATTCCAGATCTTCAAAGAGAAAATCATAAATAACAAGCATTTGTTGTATGTTCCTTAATAATAATAATTATAATAATAATAATAATAGCAGATAGAGAATCAATAACTTGTATTAGACACCTGGAAGTTTATTTGCAAATCTGATATCAAATTTTATGTACATAATAGACATTATTAGAGATGAATATAAGACAAAATCATCTTTACTCATACATGATCCTCAAAAAGTTTAGTATACCTTGTCTAAAGAGCCAAATAAGATGGCATCTTGTGGAAAAATTAACAAAACCCCATTTACAGATGCTGTATATTTCACTGGACGAGCATAATCAGAGTAATAATAATTATATTAGGATATAAACATATGTGGAACAGTGCAAGCTTTACAACAAACACACAAGGGTTAAGGAAAATATAACAGCTGAGAAATAGGACTCACATTTGTGGAGCTTGAGACAGGCACACAATTACAATTACTATCTTAGGAAAAAAAGGAATGGGGTAACTTATGATGATAAACATATATCCTCAGTTTTGTTTGGTCTGAGCACGATGGGTGCCATACTAAAATTTTCCTACATCTCGATCTGTCCAGTGGCCTGTGTGGTTTCAATGCCCAGACCACAAGTTAAGGTTATATACACATTTACCCAATGTACATTACATCTGGGCAAGAAAGAACTGCCACAGCCATTATTAGATGACAATTCATTTGCAGCAACCACTGGATGGTTGCGGATCATCACCACTAAGAGTCACACCTCCCCTGCCGGTGCCACCAGCTGTTCCTCCACTTGACTGATCCGTCTTTGGTAATTTTTTTGCTATTGAAAAAAGAATAATAAATTAAATTAATTGGTTAGGAAAAGGTTTATTAGGCAAACAAGTTCTATAAAATTTTTTATAGTGTATTTATTTACATCTGCAAAATAATTCTGTATAATATGTGATGACTATACCAACAAAACTAGTTTGTCCCAAAATAATAAAATGTATAATTGAATACTTATTTAAAAACAAGATATAAAATTTACAAAACAAAAATTGATAAACAGCATAAAATAGGAGTTAAAAATCATTAAAAATAGGGAGATGCAAACAAACATTACAGGTTTAAAATTTATCTAATTACTTGCATTTTTGAAAATTTATTATTATTATACAGCAATACAACCATGATAAACTTCTGACAGCTTGTCATTTTATTCAATCTAATTTATTCTTCAATACTATCAAACAAAAATTTCATATATTTCTAATTATTTTATATTAGTAAACTTTGATTGTAACCAAAGATTTTTTGCCTAAAGAGTTTAGTAGTTAAAAAAGTCATTTCTGACCAAAGAAAAACATCTGATAGTACTTTAATTGACTTATATTAACAGCCTTCATATGATCGTTCATTGTATTAACAAGTGTCTCAAACTCATTTGGAGTGATTTCGTCCCAAATTTGCTTTATTTTTTGCTTTTTTGTACTATCCACACTTCTTTGAGGACTTTTTCAACTTTTTAAAAATTCTACCCAAATTTTCTGTAGGGGAGCGGTCAGGATTGTATGATGGTCATTTTTCATGTGTTAATATTTTAGACCAACAAAGACTTAGTACTAAGGCAACTTGCACCATCATACTGGGAAATAAAATGTCTTGACATTTAACTTTTCTAATGGTGGTAAAAGGTTTTCCTAAAGAATTTGTTGATATTTTGCTGCATTTACTGATTCCTTGATAAAATGCAATTTCCCACATCTTATCTTGACATGCAACCTCACACCACAATGATTGATTGCTGGAAATTTTAGTGTTCTGTAGACAGTCATTATGAAATTTCTCTGCTCCTTCTCTTCAGCCTTTTTCCTATTGCCACCAATACAGACTTCAATCATCATCATCACTAAGAACTATTTACTTCCATTGACTTCAAATCAGTTATTTGTGCTTTTGTGAAAAGTGGGATTTTGCCTTTAAGTAAACAGATCATATGTCACAATTGTTAAGTATCATTCTCTCACCTGAAATAAGCTGTAGCCAAGTTTGTGCAGATGGATGTTGTATCCATCTACACAAACTTGTAATTTCTTTTCCAGTAACTTTATTCCACTCATTCACTAATTTGAGTAATGCAGTTTGATTCTTTTATAATTTCATGGAAGCATCTGTAATCAGTCTTAGGATGCGACTATGCAGATGCGAGCAAGAGTGTGTCAAGAGGCGAGATGTGATAAATATCAAACCCTGTCATGTGCGAGAACCAGAAATTTTCTCACGCCAGCAAGATTTTGGCTTGTGCTTGTTAGGTTTTTCTTTGCAAGAACTATATTGCTTGCAACTAAATTCACATCTACATAGTCACATCCTTAGTTGCTGGCCTTCAAACTGATTTTTCTAGAAGAATTTTACCAGTTTTCTGAATATTTTGAAACAATGTCCCATGTAGATTTACCAATTTTTAATCTGTCTTAATGATTTGTCTTCTCTACAAAAGATGAGAATTACATCATCACTTATATCCTTATTAGGTACCATTTTAATTAAACAAATTTACCTTAATAAGAAGGGGAAAAAATGCAAATATCACATCTGAACATTTACACATTTAGGAACAGGCCATTTAATGTAGTGTTCAATATACTTTTTGGTCAGAATGACTGTCAGAGCTTTGTCTCTCACACTTTTTTTTTCAACTTCATAACTTTATATACTGTCAAAATGAAAATTTATGTAAAAATCTTGTTATAGTTATTTTATATTAGTAAATTTTGATTTCAAGTGTAAAAATTTTTGTTTGATAGTATGAAGAATAAAGTAGATTGATTAAAACATGATATCAGAAGTTTTTTTTTTGGGTCATGGTTGTATGTAAAGCTGAACTATTTTCACTGACTCAATGTGAGTAGAAGCAAATTTAGAGAAAACATGGAAAGTCTAAAAATAAATGTTGACACTATTACCAGAAAAATTGAAAATTTCTTAATCTCAAAATATATTACTACTCTAGTATAATATTTTACATACAGTAATACCCCGAACTTACGCGATAGGTGGGAACGAGCGATAACCGCATAAGTCGAATTTGCATAAGTCGGGGTATAATTTCGCAATTTGTGTAAAATCCAAGTCGGATGTATATAAGCTAATAAATGTTCTCGTTAATCTTATCTCGTCTTTTGATTCGTTCACAGTTACAAGAAATCACCACATAGAGTCTCTCAAGTCTCCGTAGATATAACAAACACAGAAATAACACAAAATAAATTGTAGCTATGCGTCGATTCCGTGCGACACGTCCGAACATGTAAGCTGAACAATAGTGTGGGGGGGAGTGAGTAATCAAGAGTTGCATAGCACTCAAAAGACGAATCGACAAGATTTGAAAATCGTGTAACTCCGGGTTCGCATAAGTCGAGGTATTACTGTACTAAAAAATAACAGTTTTCAACAGCTCCTATAATGACAGCTGTCAGTGCAATTGCCTATTTTTAATAGGAAAAATTCATTTATCTTACTACTAATTATTCATTATTTTTAATATATTATTGAGCTAACTTAAACAATTTATACAATAGCATCACGATACTATGCAAAATATAGATTGGCCTGTTGATGCAGACAATTATTCTATATATTTCTCACTACAGTTGAAACAAAAAGATTTAAGTTTTCTTTAATGCAAAGATAGATATTTGAAACCAGATCAGGTATACTATAACTCATACTATAACCACTACTATATCAAACAAGAACTAAGATGCTATAATTTTGCAACTTTTAGTTAAATGTTGTCCTGAAGGAAGATCATGCTCTTACTCAAAGCATGTCATTTCTTTCTTACAGTTTTTCACAACTTCATCAAAGTGGTAGGCACAGTAGCTGTCAGCATTGTGTGGCCATACTGCAGGAATTCAAGCAACAGGACAAATGCTCCAAGACGACTTGTCCTTGCCTGAGAAATTGTATCCAAACTAAACTGCTCTTTGAGAGTCTAGGCCAAGAGTTCCCAAACATTTTTTGATGATCCCTTCAGGTATGCCAACCTTTTATCAATCCCATCTTTTTTTGCAAATACCATTAATAATAATAAATGAATATGACAAGCCAGTATTAATCCATCCATACACCATTTTCATACAAAAGATCTACTTAGTCTGCAAATTTACAACATCCCAAACTGTATTATGTAACCCAGTGGACTATAATCGTTAATGAACCATTTGTAACTGACTCCCAATCAACCACTTTGAACCCCTTTGTAGACCTCAGCCTTAATCTTTGAGCAAGTTTTTGGTTTTTACAAGTTTGATCTGAAATAAATCATGCTTTTAATTAAAAAAATGTTAATGACAGATTCATAACTGGGCTATAACCTGGCTAATTAAAGAGAGTTAATTTAGACTAAAAGTAGAAAAATTTAATTCAAGAGCAGTGACTTAAGTTAAAATTAAATAATTCTAATTATTAAATATTTAATTAACCAAGTTAGTTCAATAATGAATCCAGCATTATCAGATGACTTCTTAATAATTCAACTTGCATTAATTTGAATATCAATCACCAGGGAAACAGATTGTTTGCATTACCAAAAATTTGTATTAATTATTTTCAGGATCAAGGTCAATGTTGTATAATTTAGGAAGTTAAGGCTTAATAGTTTAGAGATTTCAATTGCCTATATTTAGTAAATTAATTCAAAATACTAAGTTAAATAAATTCAAATTTATTTGCAAAAGCAAAATATTCTAAATAATTTTCAAATCAAACAAAATGAGGAGAACACAGTCTTGTCATAAATTATGGAGCAGTATATCAATGGCTTAACTTTGTAGTGGCTGGTAGAGGCACTATCACGAGAATCACGTGACCATCTTTTATTACGTGATGCTGCTATAGTGAAAGTGTGGTATTAATAAAAAATTTAAATAATTTGCGTTATATTCGAGTTTTCTTGCGATTTTAGCTATGATTCGCTCTTTTGCAGGTTGATTGACTTTAATCCAATAAGTGTTTTGTTACTACCCGAGCCATAAATATTTCGGTAAATACACTCCCCTACCATTTACAGTAAATCTTCACAGTTAACTAAACAGTTGGTTGAAAACAATCAAAGGGAAACTCCTAAAGTTTTATTGGGTATCTTCTGTCTTTGTTGACATTACTGTAACTAATCACAAACTTGTGAAAGGAAAAATTGTTGCAAAAAGTCCAGCCTCCAACCTTTGAAGTAAAATGTAAACAATCACAATAAATTCACTTTTTAAATCGTTTTTTAGCTCTAACTAATTTAATGTTTTAAGACATTAAATTAGCTAATTCGACAATATTTTTAATAGTATAAATATGTTTTTAAAACTAGCAACAAATATTTCCGGGAAACTACCTCTCCGTAGTAAGTCTATGGAAGATGTTTTTGCTGTTAATTGGATTTAAAATTTTTGTTTCTACGCTTATTACACTCTAATTGGTAATTTATATTATGACTGATTTAACTTTAACGAACGAGAGTTTTTTCAGAACCATCTGGTCTGGATTTTCCCACGAAGAACTAATCCATGTGATTGAAGTCATTATGTAAACAAATGTTAAAAAACAGTTATATTCATTACTTTAGAGCGTAATTCTACTAGTTTTCATGTTATTTGACTCTACTTAGACAAGAAGATTTTTTATCAAAAGCTTCCAGCTGAAAAATTTTCCGGGAAACTCATTACTTCCAGATATTGAGTGTATGGAAGACGTTCTTGCTGTTAATTGGCTTTAAAATTTTTGTTTCTACGCTTATTACGCTCTAATTGGTAATTTATATTATGACTGAATCAACTTCAACGAATGAGAGTGTTTTCAGAACCATCTGGTCTGGATTTTCCCACGAAGAACTAATCCATGTGATTGAAGTCATTATGTAAACAAATGTTAAAAAACAGTTATATTCATTACTTTAGAGCGTAATTCTACTAGTTTTCATGTTATTTGACTCTACTTAGACAAGAAGATTTTTTATCAAAAGCTTCCAGCTGAAAAATTTTCCGGGAAACTCATTACTTCCAGATATTGCGTAATCACAGGAAAAAATTAACTAATTTATTATAGGTATTATTATATAAAACGTTGAAAAAAAATATGTAAAAAGTGTCAAATATTCACTCTTATAAAAGTATGTTGGTAAACTTTAACCTAAAAATACCCGAGCCACTACCCACAGTCATATAGGGAGACAGAGTACATTGTAAACAAGGACTTTACTCAGAACTGTTTATATATACGTGAGGGTAAAGTCAAATTTTCACAGTTACGTAATAAGAGAAAATAAGTAGACAACTGCTTGCAAATTTGAATTGTATAGTCGATTACTGCAATAATCAAAATACAGTAGAGCGTTGTTTATCCGAATCAATTGGGGACTGGGGTTGTTCGGATAACCAATTATGTATGAAAAAATATATTAATTTATCCTGTGTTGAAATTTTTCTCCGTTGCGTGTCGCTTCACGTTGAATTTGTTGATGTTAAGCCTAACGAAGACTATTGTATCGTTAAAAATTATTTTTTTATTTTGTACAAACAAAATAAATATATTGAAAAATATAAAAACAATAAAAAATTATACTTTAGAAGTTAATTTAGTATCAAAAACGTAAAATATTTGAGTAGCCGAAGACATAGCCAAAGATTACAGTGCCACAGCACTGGTGAAAATTTAAATTTGTTGACTGGAATTCCTTCAGATAACCGAACTTCGGATAAACGATGCTCTACTGTAATATAGAAATACTTTTTATTCTAAGTAAAATTTATTTTGTTTTTTTAAGTTAGTGACAATTCATAAATATTTTGAATACATTTAATTATTTTTCGAAAAATAAGTGAAAGCCATATCGATCATAATCACTAATCGGCGTCGCTTCACGATGACAATTGACTCCTCTCCAGGCTGGGTAATTAGAGACGTAGTGTAAATAATGGCAATAACTTCTCCCCCGCTCTAGCTAGAGAGCTAAGGTTCGTTTTGTTTAAAAGAAGACAAATGCGTCTAACAGATGTACAAAGTTCAGCAAATCTCTGTAAATTAATTTTTTTTCTATTGTTCATGAACTTCGAAATTTTAACATTATTTTAAATTGTATTAAACTAAAAATTAAACAATCAAACTGTAATATGTTTTTCATCAAACACAAAAAACAGATTAAATATAGTGCAATTTTGAAGCGAAATATCTAGATTTAAAAAATTATCCAGAAATTCAAAATATGCACCGCATGACGCATTCCACTCAATTTTTTCTATAAACAGTTAAAAAAGGGTTTAAAAATGTCTGATTTTTCTTCTGTTGAAAATTGAAAAAGCAGAAAATAGTTTTTGGTACCAGAAGTAGACAAACCTGGCATCACTGTATGCATTTCCTATATGCAAACTAGTGTGTGTTTGCATGGGATCATGTCCATCTGAAAGGGTGGGCATCCTTAAACTTTAATCCCTATTTTCTGAGTACAATAGAATGGTCTGCTAAAACTAGATGTTTCAATTCCTCTACAATCAAAGGTTTAAATGAAAGGTTACTAGAAGAAAAATATACTCTACTCAAAATTGAACATTTATTACAGTTCCATTTTTATTGTTTACATGAATGTATTCAATAAAAAACCAACCATTATTGGAAATAGGGTTTTCTTGAGACATGAAGATAATTTATAATTCAGTTTAATAAATTTCATGAAAATTAAAATTTTACTGGAAGTGAACAAATGTTGTGACAAGGGTGTTTTGCCAGAAGAATAGCAAAATTTGCTTTAAGAGGAATTCTCTTTATTGGTGTTCATTTTAATGCAAGTTGACTGCATATAAATTTAGGCTCTGTTTTACCATTTTGATCATTCTACAATATCTGAAAATTACTTTTGTTAAAAAAGTCTTTAGTGAGTTCTTGATTTTAACTAACTTTTCCAATAACTATTTGAATGACTGAAAAATAAATTATTTCATACTCAAATGGCAACAAGAAAAACTAGCATAAAAATGGAAGCAATTACTAAAAGCTATAAAAATTAAAAACTTACCAATTGCCAGAAAAATATCATTTACATTCATAGCAGTCTTTGCAGATGTTTCCATGAAAAGCAATCCATTTTCTTCAGCATATGCTTGAGCTTCCTGTAATTTAGAATAAAGAAAATCAGTTTTTAATTTTGAATTATCATTTCTGAATTTTTATTCAATGAAAAATTTCATTAAAATTTGGTTCATTCTAGATTTCATTTTAAGTATTGTGCAAGATCATCAAGACATTCAAATCTCAAGTTCGAAAAAAGCTCTTAACCAATAGTCATTCTTAATTAGGTTAGGGAAGATTAGGAAAATTGATAATAGCTTTGAGAAAATACGAAATTTAAATAGCACTACAAGTTCAGAACTATACAGTAATTAACTAAAAACAAGACTGAATATTTTAGATAACAACTAATCTAAAACAATTTCATTAGTGTGGCATTTATCTAGTTACTAGCAAATATGCCCAGCACTGCCAGGCCAAAAGTAACAACAGTTATTAAAATGAAAATCATATGAGTTTGGTTATTTTAACCTATCAATATCATGTTTATCATGAAATGTTACATAAATTATATTAAAAAAACAAAAATATACTTTCAAGAAAAAGTAATCTTAAATTCATAAAAACAAAATGCAGTCAGAAACAGACCAAAAATTCATGCTTGACACCCCGGAAAACTTCCAAGTGTGTGTTTGTGCTTGCTAAGAATGTGCATTATTATACTGGTAAAGAATAATGCAATTTTATTGGTCAGATATAGGAAGTGACATTTTCAACAGAAAACAGTCATTGACTTCTATCTGCATGAGAAGATAATTCAAAACTTCTAAATTTTTTAATTTCAAGATTTCTGATTTATCAGCACAATAGACTTGATAGTTTTAAAATAAAATACTGGTCTCAAGTATAATATACATCAACTCCAACATCTAAAATGCATTTTAACATTTTTTGCTGTGCCAATCTTCAGTTAGATTTCTTATTGGAGTTTTACACAATACATTGAGACTCAATACACTATCCTTGCAATATCATCTCTAAATAAATTACCAAACGATCGCCTAAATAATCAGGCTATAATTAAATGATTAGAATAAAGTAATTTGACATTAGAGGTAGGCATTAGGCGCCATCTCTTAAGTAAATTAATAATTAAAATTAAATAAATAAATTAAATAAATTTTAGAACCTTCTGGAATAAAAACTGGCCCAGGACGGGCTTGAACCCGCAACCCCCACTTGCCGTGCGGTGCGCTTGCCAGTTCAAGCCCCCGTCCCGGGCCAGTTCTTTTATTCCAGAGGGTTCTAAAATTTATTGAATTAATTTACTTAAGAGATGGCGCCTAATGCCTACCTCTAATGTCAAATTACTTTATTCCAATCATTTAATTATAGCCCAATATTTAGGCAATCATTTGGTAATTTATTATATACTATTCAGGCTTTGAGTTGTTATCTATCATCTCTAAAACCACGCAGTTAATATTTATACACCATAGTTCACTGTTGACAGATACCCACTATTACAATTATTATACTTCAATTTTAAAAATGAATATAATTTACAATATTTAGCCTTAATCTTTTTAAAACATTTGACATTAAAATTTTTCCATCAGTTTTTCAACACATTTTGTTTATTATTAAAACTTTCTATCCATTAAAATTTTTTTACATTAAACAGTACTGGTGATTCCTGGCACTTTTTCTTTTATATAGCTTGTTTTGTAAAGGCTTGCACATACCTGTTTTTAACCAGTTCTTGACAACTCTTATAATTACTTCTCACATTTTTTTTTAATCTCACACTCCATTAACTGTTTCCTTATTTTACCACATGACTTATTTATGAAAATAAACTAAATTAATTATAGTAAACCCCCATAACACAGTAAATATGTTCCGCTTTATATGAATTCTGTGTTTTACAAAGTCACTTAAATACATGAGCCAATCACAACCGGCACAAGTGCAGTTTAGTGGCTACAGCTGTTTGAAAAGTTTTCTTCCATAATCAATTAATCAATTCTAGACTAATTTGACTCCTTTTAACATTTCCAAATTACATATAATTTTTTGGGAATAATTCATATAAACTATGCTATAAACAAAAAATTGTGGGATTACTTACCGAGTGCACATAATTCGATGATGTTATTGCTATTTTTTAATTTCAAGATTTATCAGCACAATCAAGCTTGTTTTTGTCGCAGAGCGGCTCATCGAACGGCGGGCGCATGTTTCCTGATAAGTTATTTTTCACAGAAAAATTTACTAAACTTTGGAGACATCATTAATATAAATATAATTTTTATGTCCGTTAAATAATAAATGGTTTTTAGTAGGTCTGCTGCTCGTTTAAACTCAAAGGTTTGTGCAATGTCCCACTATTGGTCCAGATTTGACCAATCCTGTCACGACACGAGTCGGAGATGATATTTTATCGTGTTATACAAGTCTCTTTTAGCATGTTATACAAATACGATCGCAATATTTTTACCATGTTATATGAATCTGTGTTTATAGGGGGGTCTACTGTACTAATTACAAATTTACATTAAAATAATTTGGTGAGTGAAGTTAACTCACCAATTCTCAAGTTCTTCATATATTTTTTTCTTTTTTTAACAGTCACATTTTTCAGAGCCTTCACTTTAATGAGTTTCACACCTAATCCATACATTTATTCATATCAAGAATTTAAAACCAGTAAGAAATTAACTGAAGCCAGCACAGCAAAAAGTATTGAAATGCATTTTAGATGTCTGAGTTGGATGATGTATATTATACTCAATCATTATTTTATTGTAAAACTATCAAGTCTGTGATAACCCCTAAAATAACAGTATATGAGAACTAACTGATGTTTATACTCTTACACATTTTGTTAAATATTCAGGGTATCTCAGTTAAATGTTTCAGAACTTCTAAGAGGGTTAGTGCATCCAGACGACTCTGAATCATATAGCAATGCAAGGTCAGAAATGCTTTCCTGAAGCAGTGATGTACACAGAAACAGCTAACCTCTGGTGCAGGCTTGCAAAGAAATTATGGCTGGGAATACGCCTCATCAGATATTGTTCTGCATACAAGTGCTGTGCAGCTGCCCCACTACAATCTGCAGGCCCATACACCAAATGCATATCAGCTAACTCTGCATCCTTGTGCAAAATGATGATGCCCTGCAAGAACGCTCTGAACTTTCGCGGAACACCATCTACCGCGTCAGGAAAGCATTTCTGACCCCACATTGCTATATGATTCTGAATCATCGGGATGCACCCTATCGCTCTTAGAAGTTCTGAAATGTTTAACTGAGACACCCTGTATAAAGCAGAATTTAACAGCTTTTGGCAATTTATGAAGTTTTTATCATTTAAACTAAAATAATAAATTAAACTTTAATTCACTGTATCTAATATGTTCATTTTTTCTTTCTTAAAAAAGAAAATGATCATAACAGTTTATTATTTGGAAGGATCATTAACTTTATGCTTTAAATATAATTTTAAACATTTAAATTATTACTTTCATTACCTCATATTCAACTCCTCTTTTATTTGCCAAATCAGCTTTATTCCCAGCTAAGGCAATAACAATATTTGGACTTGCTTGACGCTGTAACTCCTTTACCCAAGTTTTCGCTCTGCTGAATGTGTCCTATTTAAAGAAAAAAAATTACACATTCTAAAGTTTTATTTCCACAAAATTACACATAAAATCAAATTGTCAAATATTTCATAAAATAAGCATTAAACACAAACATGTAATAACTTCCTAAAAATTGAACAATAATTTGATTAATATTCTAGTCCCATATTCTTAAGATAAATAACTGTTTTTGTATGTTGTTCTTAAAAACTGGAAAGCAAGCTTACAATTCCAGAAATAACATTTTTTTTATTTTTTTCAAGTTTAAAATATTTAGGATTTTGATGACCAACATCAATTAAGGGAATCTAGAAACTTTATTGATATTTGTTTCAGATAAACAGTTAAAGATACCTGAAAAAATTATCATAATGACAATTTAGAGATAGGATAGACAATGAATACACCACAAATTTGACACAAGTATAGGGCAATCTTGGACACGAAAAAATACGAACATAACATGTAAAAATTAAAAGGTTAGTGGCACTTGTGTGTTGCATCAGATTCTTTTGAGTCACAAAGTAATGGAATATATATTTGTTTTCATCCATGTTTCATGCAGCTGGAAGTTTTTTGAAAGATTTCACTCTTTCAAAAACATGTATATTACAAGTATCATGAGGTTTTTAGATATCACATGAATGTAGATAGTGAGATAATGTGTTGTGTGCTGTTTATTTATCATGTATTACTGTATCTATATTTTAATATATCTCTCTCCAAAATTAATTAGAATCAAAATGAGTCTGTGGAACTGTGGACACTTTGGTATAGTTACTCAGTTTCTCTCATAATATTCTACAATTTTAGGATGCCAAGGCCAGGACCTACAAAAACATTTTTTTGGGAATACTTGCCTTTCATAAAGTAGTTAGAGATAATTGGAAGCTGACAGCATTACAGAAAGCTGTAGCTAAGTATAAAATCACCAAATTAACCTTTCTTCAAATGAATAGTTTATCTGCTTCTGTCAGTGAAAGAAAACCCATCTTTTTGTATGAGATATAACAAACTGAAGGAATAGGCTGTTGAAATGCACAATTCTTTTAATGGTTTAATCCAGGAAATTGAGGTTTCTATTTGATTTTGCCAAGAAAAGTAATCTCCATTTTAATAAGAATAAAATTTCTGGAAGGATTGGTTCAACTTTATTCAAGAAGTGTGTTTAAACTTGTTGGCTCAGGTTGGCAGAGTCAAAGCATTTATTAAGGAGAAAGTTTCACTTTTCTTTTCCAATTATAGAATTTTAAGTGAAAATAATATCTCAATCTAGAATTTTTAATATGGACAAAAACCAATTTCTACTTTTCAAAACATATAAAGGCATGATTAGAAAGGGCACAAAACAAGTTGTAAGGATAGTTAGTGGTGTAAAAGTATCAGAACAGGCATTTTGAAAATGTTTCAAACTTTAATGTTTGTATTTGCATGAATATGCAAAATTTTATATATTACATTAATATTCAGTGCACCTAATGAATATCTAATGTAACTCAGGATCTAACAATATTTTATAACAGCCTTCATGGTCACAGGTGCTTCAAAGTATAATAGTTGCTAATTCATGATAATCACAGTAGCAACTTGAAATCTCTAGTGAAAATTTTGATTATGCTTTCTTTGCCACCCTCATTTGTCTCGAAGAATGCAGCCCACAAAATTTCAGTGTTTGGATAATTGAAAAAAATCTTAGGTTGACTGAGATACTAATGGACATACAAAAATGTAATGTTGCTATATTTTGTAAGAATAGTTTACATTGAAAAAGCAGTTAACTGGTTTTAAGCATCAGGAATTTTCCCATTCAATTCAAATTTTCAGATAAACATTTATCAGGAAATAACTCCCATCATCATTTAGCCAATCTCAAAAGGATAACTTTAAATTATTGGTTTCAAGTGGGGTGCTATAGCACACAAGAATGTCACAATGATACTTCAGATTTGCCACAATAGATTGATGGAAGATGGCAGTGCAACACTTGTATGATCTGCCAAGAAAGAGTCCTCCCTGTAGGACTTTCTGGCAAATCCTCTAGCCCCTATTTAGATGTTACTAATGTGAAGAAAATTCCACATAGCTAGCCCATTCGCAAAGCACAAATCTACGACCATCTACTAGTGTTCAGTGGTTTCATCCAGTCAGCCACAAAAGTTGTCACATTTAGTACTGTAAACAAATTCCTGTACTAACTGACATAAAAACACTCAATATGTTCAGTACTGCTAACTAGAGGATGTTCAGCAGAAAAATAGTATAAACTGTTCTGGAACTGCTGAGTCTGCTGAATGCATCCAATGTCTTAGGAAACTGGTAAAAATAATGAAATGTGGATTACAACTAGTTCATGCTGAGGAGGAAGAAAAAATAGAATTTTGCTTGTACTGGATGAAAAATTTGTCATCCACCAAAACAGATAAAAAGTAAGATGTTAGGCTGGTGCCACAAAAGATGTCCTAAAACAGCATAACAAGAAAGCATTCACATGCATTTAGTATAAATTTGATAATTTTTATTTTCTTAGAAGTTTTGTTTTAATAAAAATAAATTGATATCTGGAACAGTCATTTTTTTTTATAAATTGACACATCTATTATATTTCAATCTTTAAAGAATATGCCTAAATTATATTTTATGTCATACTATATAATAATTAAATTGGAGTATCATTTGATATAAAATAAAATTTTTTAAATTTATCATACAATCAAATACCTATCAACTTAATTTTTCAAACCAGTAATAAATCATATCTAACTGCCAATACTTCTGACTACTACTAATTTCAAAAGAAAATAGTATGGCATTTATAGAAAAAAATATCTTTTCCTTTGACTATACATACAGAGATGAGTCTTAATTCATTTTTTGTCCTTTCACACACTGAGGCAATAACAATTCCATCAGCGAAGTCGACCTTTCTTTGTAGGCTACCATGTGAAAGGACAAAAAATGAATTAAGACTCATCTCTGTATGTATTGTCAAAAGAAAACATATTTTTTTTCTATAAATGCCATACTGTATATGTCTTGGCAATTTTATTTAATGAAAATAGTATGGATTTGATGTTTTTTGAAAATTTTTATTAAGATGTATGAGGCTGGGAGGTTTGATTTACAATAGTCATTAACATATGAACAAGAAAACATGCATGAGCAATCTGCACACAAGTTACTGAATATAAATGAAGGGTATAGATGCAAAAGTCACATTATCCAATTTTGACAGTATCATTGACCAACACTCAAAAAAATTTCAGCCTAAAAATGTGAAAATCACATTTTGAAGCATACATCACATTACCAACAGCTGTTTTGCAATAAAATTAACACACTTCAATTCAACCAATCAGAGCCCCCTGGTGTACACAAAGCATCATATCATAGGATTGTCTGCTCCAGTTCTGTTGATGTGCCTGCTATAATAATGCTCAATTTTCTTCAGTTTGATTTTTGTTTATCATCCCTCCAATTAAATAATGTTAAGATTCATTTTTCTTGGTTCTTGTTTTCGATTATGTTAACTGTTTTGATTCATAACTAACATTCTCCATATAAGTTTGTTGCAAAACTCACACCGTCCATATTTTAAAGTTAAATCCTAGTTTTTCCTCCTTTACAGAGTTTAAGGCTGTGTGCAAGTAGTTTCTATGCCAACAAAGACAATCAGAATTGTTAATATATCATGTGTGTCAACAATAAGTAATTTTTTGCATTATTCTGAAAGTCTTAAAAAGTGGAGAGTGACTTTTGCATCTACACCACTCAAATGATACAATAATTTTTAGTAAAGCCTCAGTTTATGATATACAGATTAGGAACTTAAGGACTGCAATTATGAATTTGGGAATTAACAGTTTAATTTTTTTCACATCATTTAGAGGAAAGACAGGAGATGGTATCCTCTCAATCATATATAAAATTAAGGATATTGAACTGAAGTCTTACATCCAAAAAATTAAATTCAGATCATTCTGCATATTATTTCAAAATGGGAGTTGTAAGTCAGGAATACAGGGCTTCATGCTCAAGACTTGCTATCATTAAGTTACTCATTTCTGCATGTCCACAGGAACAATGTTCTTACCTGGCATCCAAGAAACTCATTGTTCCTAGGGTCAGCATTTACTCTAGCATAAAGTCATCACTAGAATGAAATATTTATCTAATAAATGTAGGTTGTTCACTGCTGCTTATTTATAGAGAAGCAAAAAATTTATCCGTAATTGCTCATACCTCAGAGCTAAGCACTACAGTATATGACAAATGAAAAAACTGGGATCCATGAAGAGTAAGCATGCAGAAATTACTTTTCCTTTGTTCTTTCAGTCTGAGGATGGGATGAAATAGCATGTAGAAAATTGTAATGAAGTACATAGCAACTTACAGATAAAAGCAAAAAATGAAATTAAAAAACAACAACACTAAACTGGAAATCTATATATAAATTCTCATCTAAATGAGAAATTTCCAGCAACAAAACACTCAAATTAAGCATTCAAACATTTTCAGCCACTCTTTAATCGGCTTTCATCAGGAAAAGTCGAAACGAAAATAACTGTTCTATTTATAGAATGTTGTCGTGTCATACACATAATTTTTAAAAATTATTCTATAAATAGAACAGTTATTTTCGTTTCAACTTTTCCTGATGAAAGCTGATTAATTAAAGAGTGGCCAAAAATGTTTGAATGTTTAATTTGAGTGTTTTGCTGGAAATTTGACATAAGTGAGAAAAAAAAAAGACTGAGAAGCAAATGCAGAAAGCAAATCTTGAAGGAAAAAAGCAGATAGCTTGAGCAATAAAGATACTATGTCTGTCTTATGCAATGGCTAAAATTAATTTCTTCAGTTGAAGCATTTCAGCATAAAAGTCATGGTGTTATGCTGCAATTTTATATAATTTTTATAATCCTGTCACAGTATTTTCTGTTATCTATATTAACCTTGTATGTTGTAAAGGTGTGTATATGGTGGTGGTAGTGGCGCTGCTGCTGCTCAAAAAT